TCTCTCCTGAATGTTCTAAACAGAATCTGACCCCTTCCCGTGGACTCCCATGCTGCTATACGTCTTCCTTAGCCTCCATCACCCTGCCTGTAACGCTGTGCCTCCCCCGTGAGACTGAGGGTTTCCCAGGGAAGAACTTAGGTCTGATTCCTCTCTGGTGCTGGCAGGAGTCATTTTAATCCCCTGAAAGAGTTGGGCTCATGGTACTGGCAACATCAACTCCACTCTGAGAGAGAAGAGCCCAGTGGAGTGACTTCTTTCCCTTTCCAGGGCTCAGTCTCCTTGTCTGGGAAATGGGGCAGCACCACTTCATATCTTCAGCATGGCCATGACTTCTACCCACCCTCTCTGTCCTCCCCCAGCTCTCAGAGTGGAGGCGGCGCCAGGAGGAGGAGGCAGGGTTGCTGGAGGCAGGGGAGGAGGCCCGGCGCCGGGCGGCCCGCGAGGCTGAGACCCTGACCCAGCGCCTGGCAGAAAAGACAGAGGTAGTGGAGCGGCTGGAGCGGGGCCGCCGCCTGCTGCAGCAGGAGCTGGATGACGCCACCGTGGACCTGGAGCAGCAACGGCAGCTCGTGAGCACGCTGGAGAAGAAGCAGCGCAAGTTCGACCAGGTGGGGCACCTCAGTTTACCCAGCTGGGGAATCAGCAAGTTAATCTATCCTTCCCATGGTCATTGTGAGGAATCAGTAATATGAGATGTCACGCTCAGCTCTGAAGTGGTGGTGCACCAAGAAGCAACACACTCTTGGCTCTGAGCCTCTGTAAAACAGGACACCCATCTGTCATCCACTTTTATGCCTCTTGTCTAAGCATAATTATTAGTAGCACCGCCTTTAATTTCAAAGATGTAGTTTGGGTGATGAAATATAGGAATACCCTCTGAGCACCCCAGAGGGTGCTTATAAGGATTAACATATTTCACTTGTTCAGCTGACTCATTGGGTACCTCAGGCAAGTTGCTTTTCCCATCTCGGCCTCAGTTTACCCATCTAGAAAATGGGAATAATGCCAAGCATCTGGCAGCCTGAGGATGAGCTAAAATCACAGAATCCCAGAGAGTTAAGGTCAAGCAACCCTGAGGTTCAAATCCTTGCTTGATCTCTTTCTAACCGTGTAGCTTGGGCAAACTGTGCAATGTTTCTGTGCCTGATTTTATTCATCTAGAAAACATTAGCAGCAGTGGGAGGGGGCATTATTTTGCCCTCATATTTGAAAGATTTTTCACTGGACGTAGAATTTTAGGTAAACAGTTTATTCTTTCAACACTTTGAAGATGTCATTCCATTAACTCTGGCCCCCGTTGTTTCAGATGAAAAGTTAGTACTCATTCAAATCATTGTTTCCCTGTAGGTAATGAGATGTGTTTTTTTAGTTGATTTAAAAATTATCTTTTTGTCTTTGGTTTTCAGCAGTTTGACTATGAGATGCCCTGCTGTAGGTTTTTGTATGTATACTGCTTCAGGTTTGCTGAGCTTCCTACTGTTATGAGTTGATTTTTTGATCAAACGTGAAAATTTTCAGCCATTATTTCTTCAAATATTTTTCTGTCCCACACTCTCTTTTTCCCCTTCTTCTTGGACTCCAAATGCATGTATATTTTTGATAGCCTAATAGTGTTCCAAAGGTCATCAATACTCTTAAATTTTTTTGCATCTTCTTGAATTTTATATAAATTCTTTTCATATAAATCTCTTTTTCAATTGGTTTCTTTGAAATAGGATAATTATTTTGAGGTTCATCCATGTTTTTGCATGTGCCAATAATTCATTCCTTTTTTACTGCTGAGTATTATTCCTGTATAAATAAGCCACATTGGGGCCGGCCCGGTGGCGCACTGCTACAGTGTGCCACTTGGGAGCGAGGTGGTGCTCCTGCTGAGGGTTCGGATCCCACATACAGACCGGTTCCCGCTCACTGGCTGAGCGAGGCACGGGCACAACACCGAGGGTTGCGATCCCGTTGCCGGTCCCGGTCTGGTACGGGCGCGACACTGAGGGTTGCGATCCATTGCTAGACACGAAAAAAGACAAAAAATAAAAATAAAAATAAAAATAAAATAAATAAATAAGCCACATTTTGTATATCTATTAGCCTGTTGATGAACATTTGGGTTGTTTCCAGTTTTGGGCTTTCATGAACAAAGCCTGAGTCTTCCTAACAGGTGTGTAGTGGTTTTAATTCACATTTCTCTAATGACCAATGATGTTGAACATCTTTTCATGTGCTTATTTGCCATCCGTGTATCTTCTTTGGTGAAGTGTGAGTACAAACTTCTTGCCCATTTTAAAAAATTGGATTGTTTTCTTATAATTGAATTTTGAAAGTTCTTTATATATTATGAATACAAGTGATTTATCAGATATTTGCTCTGCAAATATTTACATCCAGTCTGTGGCATGTCATTTTATTCTCTTAATAGAGTTTTTCAAAGAGCAGAAGTTTTTAATTTGGGTGAAGCCCAATTCATTGATTTGTTATTTTATGGATTGTGCTTTTGGTGTTGTGATTAAGTATTCTGCCTAACTCAATGCCATAAAGGTTTTTTCCTATTTTTTTCTAGAAGTTTTCTACTTTTAGGTTTATATTAGGTCTGTGATGCATTTTGAGTTAATTTTTATATGTAGTGCTACCGTGGCTTCAAGTTAACTTTTGTGAATATAGATATCCAGTTGTTCCAAGACCATCTGTTCTACACTGACTTGTGTTTGTATCTGTATTAAAGATCATGTTTTGGGCCGGCCCGGTGGCGCACTGGATAGTGCGCCGCTTGGGAAGCGCGGCGGCGC